CTGTTTCAGACGCCCCCCACGGATGTGCACGGCGGGCGTTTCGGCGAGAGTCACACTCTGAAAGGGGCCCGCCCTCCACCGTTGAATTTGCTGCAAGCTTTCACGGACGAGCGCGCGCGGCGCTGATGCTAGAGATAGGGTTTTAAAACCACCCGCCCTCCATCTCTTCAAGCTGTTGCAGGCTTTCAAGACGAATGTGCACCGCGCTAGGACGAGAGCAACATCTTGAAAAGGGCCCGCCCTACATCCTTGAAGACGTGGCAGTTCTTTAAGACGCATGCGCGCGGCACTAAGGCGATAGCCGCACCTTTAGAACGACCCGCCCTCCATACTTGAAACTGCTGTTCACTTTTTAGACAAATTTGCGCGGCGCTAAGGCCCGAGTCACATTTTGGATACGAACCGCCCTATATTCTTGAAATTGTCACACACTGTCAAGCTTAAGGGTCACACGGTGAGGGGGCCTTAAACGAAACTCCAGGCCCGTGACACGTCCGGAGGTGCGACTGGGAGGAGGTATGCATAAGAAAAAGGGATGGAGGAGGAGGAGGAGGATAAGGGGGAGGAGCAGTGGGAGGAGAAGGATAGGGATCGCACGCCGCTGAGGGAGAGAACAGAGAAGAGCCGCTGAGGAAGAGAATAGAGAGAAGAGAAAGACCAGAGTCCGATACCGCCGCGGCCCGCGCGCGGACCCGTCCGCCCTGGCGAATCCCCCGAGCTGCGCGGCCCTGGGAACCAAGGCCACCCAGCCCTGCGCGCCAGCTACAGTTGAAACCGGTATTAAGGATGCGTAACCTTCCCAAGGGTACCCTTGCACCCGCGCCTCTTTGATCCATGCTTGGTTTCTTTCGATGGCCCGCCGCTCTCGAAAAAGCTTCAACACGGGCGACCAAGGGCTTGCACCTTTATCGCGCATCCTCACGATCAGTCTTGACTGCACTTCGCCATTCCACGCTGACGAGTCTGGCCGTGCAGATGCGGTTCCTGGGCGTCCCTGTCTTGCCACCCGCCGCTTCCGCGGGTCAAGCATTTTGCTGGACACACCCCATCCGCGCCCCCACCAGGGGAACGCGCAACCACCGCCTGGTGACCCAGGCCCCTGACTGCATCGCACAATTGACCCGGTGGACTCGTTCTGGTACCTGCACTGCGCCCCGCCACCGTTAGAACCCCGGCGCAGCAGCCGCCGCTGTCCCCGCCGGCGGGGCCGGCCGCGCCACTCGCTCTGGGCGTGACCCGTCCCCCTTAGCGGCCCTCGCCTTCCCCCCCCGCACCCCTTTCGTCCGACCGCCATCTTCGTTTTCCTGTTCTCTTGCATTGCGGCACAATTCGCTACAACGGTGCCCCCGTTTAGTTGGCTCTTCGGCAGCGCAGTCACTCTGCTTAGCCGCCGACGCACAAGGTGTATTCACAGGCTTGCAGCAGCCCAATGTACTTTCGAGGTCTGCAGTATGCACCTCCATCTGAGCCTCCCGTTGCCAGGAGAGCGACTCGATGAAGGGCGTGTCAATCTGCGGCCTCTCGCACGGCCCTCCGTTGACCGCTACAAAAAAATCGAATGCTCTTGTGCTCCTTACCCCTGGACTCTTCGGCTTCCTCTGAGGCCTCCTCGCCGTCGCCTGCGGCCAAGTCGTCGCCGAATATTTTTTGGTTCACCGAGCGTCTCCTCCTCCTCCTCCTCCTCTTCTTCCTCCTCCTCTATCTCCTCCTCGTCCTCCTCCTCGTCCTCCTCCTCCTCCTCCTCCTCTTCCTCCTCCTCCGCCTCTTCCTCCTCCGCCTCCTCTTCCTCCTCGTCCCCCTCCTCCCCCTCCCCCTCTTCCCCCTCCCCCGCCTCCTCCTCCTCGTCCCCGTTTTCCTCCTCCTCGCCCTCCTCCTCTTTTTCCTCCTCCTCGTCCTCCTGCTCCTCCTCCTCCTCCTCTTCCTCCTCCTCCTCCTCCTCTGCCTCCCCCTCCTCCTTCATTTCCCTTGTCCTCTTCCGTTGTCCTCCTCCTTCTCCTCCTGTTTCTCCTCCTCCCTGCGTCCTCCTCCTCCAAGTAGTTTGTCTCCTCCCTTTCTCCTTTTTTTCGCTGCACCCATTCCTTCGCCTTGTGCGTAATGAATCCCTGTCGCACCCCGAGGACTGTCGAGAGAGCAGGCCGGGCGCTTCGCCTGAATATTCCTCACCACCTATTACTCTGAAGCTGAGAAGATGGGCAACCGTTTCACACATGGAGGGCGGGCCGCTTCCAACATGCTGCTCTCGCCTGAGCGCCGCGTATACTCGCGTTAAACATGTGTAAGAACTTCACGGGTTGAGGGCAGGTGGATTTCAAAATGTATTTCTCGCTTTAGCGCCGCACGCATTCATCGTGCACATGTGTAAGAACGTCGATGATTGAAGGCAGCTCCTTTTCAAACTGCGGTTGTCTATTTAGTGCCGTGCACACTCGTTTTCGACATTTGCGAGAGTTTCACGGGTTCCCATGGTCATCGTGCCAGGCTTGTTTTTTTTTTTTTTTTGGAAGGACTCAAGGTTTTGCGGGCGCGGCAGTGATTCGCGTTGTCGAAGTCCCACGAAGGGCGTTCTGGTACGATTCAAGATCGTCTTGCGCTGGAGTCCAGAGGACAGTATGCTGGCACGCTCCAGGATCTTCAAGCGGTTGTCTCGCAAACAGAGTTCGCTCCCTCAGTGGAACTGAACCTTCGTAGATGCATATGAAGAGGGCGTTTGGAGGGATGGCTTATTCCAACATCGTTGATGAGTCTTGGGTTTCCAAAGGTATTCCTCCTTTTTCTCCTCCCCCTTGCCTCCTCCTCCTCCTTTCCCTCTTCCCCACGCCCCCTCCTCCTCCTCCTCCTTCTCCTCCTCCTCCTTCTCCTTCTCCTTCTCCTCCTCCTCCTCCTCCGCCCACTCCCCCACCCCGCTTCCTCCTCCCCTTTTCCTCCTCCTCCTCCTCCTCATCCTCCTCCTCCTCCTCCTTCGTCTCCTCCTCCTCCTCCCTCCCGTTTCCTCCCCAATTCGTTTTCCTCCCTGTCGCACCCCGAGGCCGGTCGAACGGGCGGGCCGTGCGTTTCGCTTGAGATCCCGATGCTATTTATGACCATGGAACTTAACAATTGGCAACAGTTTCATAGATGAGGGCGGGTGGGTTTCCACGTGTGGTTCTCGCCTTGGCACCGCGCACGCTCGTTTTCAGAATTTGCAAGAGTTTCACGGATTGTGGGCGGGTGGTTTTCAACATGTGGTTTTCGCTTTCGCCCCGTGCACGTTCGTTCCAAGAAATTGCAGTGGTTTCTCGGATCGACGACATGTCGTTTTCAAACTGCTGTTTTCGCCTTAGCGCCGCCAGCAGTCCTTTTTGTACATTGCAACAGTCTCACGGATTGATGGCGGGTGTTTTCAGATTGTGGTTCTCGCCTTAGCGCCGCGCGCGTTTGCTTTTAACATATGCAAGAGCTTCGCGGATTGAGGGCGCTTCGTTCTCAAAGTGTAATTCTCGCATCAGCGCCACGCGCGTGTTCGCTTTTTGTATGAAATTGTAAGAGTTTCACGGGTGTTCGTGGTTAGCATTCCGCACAAGGTGTTGTGGAACGATTTAGGGTTGTCAGGGCGCAACAATGACGTTGATTCGCGATGCTGGTGTCTTGGCGCGATTCAGGATCGTCAAGGCGGAACAGTCAGGTTGGCTCGTGGTGTGGAAGTATTGAGCATGGTGCTCCGGCACGCGTGACGATTTTCACACGGTTGTCCCCCATCGGCGCTTTCTTTCTGTGGATATGAAACCTTGTAGGGCCTTATCATTCCCGCCTCCTCCCTCCCTCCCCCCGCATCCTCCTCCTCACTCTTTCTCCCCCCCTCCTCCACATCCGCCTCCTGTCGCCTGTTTCCTCATCCTCGCTCCTTCGCCTCCTGCCGCCTGCCTCCGCACTCCTTCTCCCCCTTCCCTCTTCCTCCTCCTCCTCCTCCTCCTCATTCTCAGCAGCAACAACAACGTCCCTTGCTCCTCATCCTCATGGTCCTCTTTCTCCTCCTTTTTCGCCTCCTCGCCATCATCATCATCATCACCATCATCATCATCATCAGCAGCAGCAGCAGCAGCAGCAGCATCAGCATCAGCATCATCATCAGCAGCATCGTCATCATCATCATCATCATCATCATCATCATCATCATCGTCGTCATCATCATCATCATCATCGTCATCATCGTCATCATCGTCATCATCGTCATCATCATCATTCTCGTTATCATCTTCATCCTTCTCGTCATCAGCTTCACCATCGCCCTCAGCATCATCATCAGCGTCACCACCACCATCACCATCACCATAACCCACCATCGTCATCATCAACATAACATTCGTCTTCATGCTCATAACCATTAACATCAGCATCACCAACGTCATCACAATCATCATCCGCATCATCATTACCACCATCATCATCCGCATCGGCACCACCATCGTCATCATCATCATCATCATCATCATCATCATCACCATCAGAATCGTCACCACCAGCATCATCAGCATCAGTATCGTTTCCTTCATCTTGATTTGCCGATTCCGTTTGATTATCATGTCCATCACCATCATCATCACCATCATCATCATTATCACCCTCAGCAGCATCAACATCGTCGCCTTTTCCTTTCCACCATCATCATCATCATCATCATCATCATCATCATCATCATCAGCAGCATCATCATCGCCTTTCCTCTTCCTCCCCCTCCTGCCCCTCCTCCTCCTCCTCCTCCTCCTCCTCCTCCTCCCTTTTCCTCCTCCTCCTCCTCCTCCTCCCCTCCTCCTCCTCCTCCTCCTCCCCCCTGCGAGCTGCTCCTCCCTCCCCTCCCCTCCTCCCTTTTCGCTCCCTCTTCCCCTCCCTCCTCCGCCCCCTTCCTCCTCCTCCTCCTCCTCGTCCTCCTCCTCCTCCTCCTCCTCCTCCTCCTCCCCCTCCTCCTCCTCCTGCGAGGGGGTCAGCCTTCCCCGCCTGCCAGCGGGGGCGGGGGGGGGGGCCAGGACGGCGCCCTCCGCCTCTGGGACCTGGAGCGCGGCGAGGCCGTGCGGGTGCTGCGGGGCCATCGGCTCGCGGTGCCGGCCGCGCTCCTCGCCGTCGTCGACGTCGTCGTCGTCGTCGTCGTTCGTCGTTCGTCGTCGTCGGCGGCGGCGGCGTCGTTCGTCGTCGTCGTCATCGTTCGCCGTCGTTTTCGTCGCTCTTCGTTCGTTGTCGTTCTTCGTTCGTCGTTTTCGTCGTCGTGGCGGTGGCGGTGGCTGTCGCCGTGGTGGCTGTGATCGGCATCGGAGTCGTGGTCGTCGTTGTCATGGTCTTCGTCCTCGTCGTCTTCGTTGTGGATCAGGGCGTCTATCGCACGCTGGCGTCGGATTCGCACGCCGCTAGACCCAGCGATACCCTGGCTAACTTGAGGTGAATGATGGTTGCTATGGCTTTCCGCGGCTCCCAGCCCTTGGGAATGTCAACAGGTCCGCGTCCAACCATCTTATCTCCCTCCTGCCACAGCGCAGCGCACAGAGACAAAGAGGTAAACGTTTGAAACATGCACTGCTGCTGTCTGCGCGCAGCACGATCCATCCTCCAGCATCCACTCGATAGAGTCCCTCATCAAGGGGTTTCGCTTGAAACTGCGGCCTGGGTGATGCGAGTTCCTTCTCTCACTTCTCCTTTCACTCCTCCTCCTCCTCCTTCCCCTCCTTCTCCTTCTCCTTCTCCTTCTCCCCCTCCTCCTCCTTTCTCCTCCCGTCTCCTCCTCCTCCTCTTCCTCCTCCTCCTCCTCATCCTCCTCCTCCTCATCATCATCATCATCATCATCATCATCATCATCATCATCATTCTCCGCCCTCCTCCTCCTCTTCCTTCTCCTCCTCCTCCCCCTCCTCCTCCCTTCTCCTCCTCCCTTCTCCTCCTCCTCCTCCTCCTCTTCTTCCTCCTCCTCGTGCTTCTCCATGTAGTCATCCTCCTCATCATTCAGCTTCTCCTACTTGTGCTTCTCCTCCCTCCGCCATCCTCCACTTCTACTCCCTCACACCTCCTCCCCCACTTTCCTGCTCCTGCCTCCTCCCTCCTTATCTTTATCCTCCTCCTCCTCCTCCTCCTTTCCCTCCCGGGCGCGGCTTCCGGGCTTTGGATCGCCTCCCACTCTTACAGAGCTATGGGATCCCTCCGCGCGCCCTGGGCTCGGTGCACCGGGCCTTGGCTCCTACTGGATGTGCGATCTGGAGCCGAGTACACTCAAGATGCTGAAACAAAAATAGCTGCTGGGGTTCGGAAGGTGCTCGCCGTTCGTTGGGTCCTTACCTTAGTTGCCTCGATACGCCCGTTTTGATACGCAATACGTCCCGTGTTCAAGACGTCCGTGTCCATACGCTGCGTGTGGGCTCCACGTATTGGGCCACGTTTTGGCGGATGTATCGCGTCGGACCTACGTTTTCAGCGTACGTGTTGAGCTCCGTATCAATGTTCCACGTGTTGCGTGTTGCGTATGGGGGCAGCTAATTTCAAGATGCTGAAACAAGTGTAGCTGCTGGGGTTCGGAAGGTGCTCGCCGTTCGCTGGGTCCTTACACAGTTCTTTCTCTAGCGCTTCTCGTGCACCCGAGCGCTTCTGTGGCTAGCACTGGGCGAAGCGATTCCTTTCGCGCTTCTTATCATACCCTGTGGCAGCAGTTTGACTGTATCCTGGCTTCTGCCCTCCTCTCCACAAGCTCCTCTGACCTTGTCCTCGGGGTCTTAGTGATTGGATGTCTGCATGCCCTCATCCATCACAGGATCTGGAACCGGGACCGGACAGGATGTGGTGACTGGGCAGGTGTGCGCGCCTTCCGGGCCAATACCCCACCTCCGACCCCTTCCCCTTTCACTACGACCAAGAGACCCCTTCCTGTGCTGGGAGGCCACCACGGGCGAGGGAGCCGTGTATCACCACCAATCATTGGCAGGAGTCGCCTCTTCCCACCCGAAGGCGAGCGAATCCACTCCATCTGCGAGCAGTCGCCTTACGAGTGACCGCAGAACGCAGGCCGTTGCCAACGCGTTTTAGGGCTCGGCGACCGCATGCAGGTATGGCATCGTGGTGCGAGTGGATCCGCCCGATCTGTGAGCAGGCGCTTCCCTGCACCCTGGCGTCTGATTCCTGCATCTCCTGGGTTCCTTACCTCACCCTTATGGCCTGGCCTTGCCGACGCTGCTGTTCCTGCTCCCGATTCCGCCTCGCTCCCCTCTTGCTCATGTTCCTCTCGGTCTTCGCCGTCGTCGCCGCGCCGACGTGCCTCCTGACCTGCTGCTGGGCCGCACCCGCTGCGTTGTGTCCTGCCTCTCGGGGCCATCGCCCCGCTCTGGGCGCACCTGGACGCCTGGGCGTCCTCCCGATGATCCTCAGGACGTGTGCTAGCCCAATGTATGTTTGCCCCGTTTCAGCCCCGCCAGTATATCATTACATCGCCTGCGTCCGATGGAAGGGTCACAAAGAGCAAGCACACGTTGGCGCTAACACACGTTCTGAGGTTCATATATCCCCCCCAAGTGAGAGGACGAGGGCGGTCCTCCTCCAGGAGGGAGGGAGGGGGGGAGGGAGGGAGGGCTGGCGGCGCGCAAGAAGGGCACGGCGCGACGGGGGCGGCCTTCTGCGAAGGGCGGGGCGGGGCGTCTGAGAAGGCGGGGGCCTTCCTCGAGGGGCCCCGGGGGCATCCAAGAAGCCTTCGTAGAAGCCCGGGGGGGGGGCTTCGAGGAAGCCCCCCGCCGTCTAAGCCCCCCCCGACTTCTCGGAAGCCCCCCTGCCTCCGCAGAGGGTCGCCCCCCCCTCGCATCGCCCACGTGGTGCGCGCCGCCAAGCGGTGGAGGAGGGAGCAAGCGAGGAGGATCGCCTTTTGTCAGAATCCCGCGGGCCTGTGCGAGGGAGGAGGGAGGAAGCAGGGAGGATCGTTTTCTGCTAGGCTCCCGCGGGTCTCGTGATTGTATTCTTCTCCTTACCTTCGACCTCAGGCGGGGTCCAGCGGCCCGCAGGTGAACTTCGTTTGGTGCGTGGCTGAGGGACGCCCAGGTGAGAGAGCTCCCGCGGGCTGTGCCGAGGGTGGGTGGGTGGAGGGTTTCTCCGAAGGGCTTAGGCGACCCGTCCTCCTCCTCCTCCTCCTCCTCCTCCTCCTCCTCCTCCTCCTTCTCCTCATCCCCTCCTCCCTCCTCCTCCTCCTCCTCCTCCTCCTCCTCCTCCTCCTCCTCCTCCTCCTCCTCCTCGGGTCGCCTACGGCCCCAGGGGAAACCGTGCAGGGGGAGGGCTCTCCTGGAGCGCCCTTGGCCCCCCCGCGCAGGTGCTGTGCCTCGCCGTGGACTGGGCCGCGCAGCGGGCGCTGTCCGGCAGCGCGGACCGCACGCTGAGGCTGTGGGACATGGAGCAGGCCCGCGGCGACGTCCTCCTCCTCCCCCTCGTCCACCTTCTTCTCCTCCTCCTCCTTCTCCTCCTCCTCCTCCTCCTCGGGTCGCCTACGGCCCCGGGGAAAACGTGCACGCTGAGGCTGTGGGACATGGAGCAGGCCCGCGGCGACCTTCCTTCTGCTCTGGCGCCGGTGGATGGCGGCGCGGAGAAGGGGGCTTGGATGGGAGCGGCCTTCTGAGAGAGCCAGGGGCCAGAGGCGGGGATATGGTCCACGGCCACCGCATGGGGGATCCAGCTTCGGGGGGAATGGCAGGCGGCGGATCTGGATACATTCTGGTCCTCGACCGGGGGGGGGCAAGTATGCTCATATACCCTGCCTCCCGAGGCTCCCGAAGCTGGCCCCGCCTCGCAGGGAGCTCCTGAGAAGGCAGAGGGCGCTTCCTACAACCTTCGACAACATGAACCCTTCAACGTCGGGGCGCGCCTTCAATATCGGCACGCCCGGAGACGTTGTGGCCAGGGGGCACTTGATTGTTCGGGAGCGTCAAGTCGAAAGTTCAATGACGATCGACGCTGAAGGGGGCGCGCCAAGAAGTACGGCGCGTTCATCGCCAGCCACTCCAGGAGCACACACCAGCTCAAGCTGGATATGTGCAGCACATGTTTGAGGTTTAGTTTGACAAGGTAATGGGAAGCGCTCCCAGGTTCTGGGAGGTCTTCTCACATCGGCGTCACCCCAACACACTTATACTATCTGTGCGTCGCCCCCCCCCCAGGGGCGACGCGTGCACCGAGAAATCTCATAGTATATATGCGTCGGAGCGGGGGCTTTCTGGCCACACTGCTCGGGAAACGACATACTGCAAGATGGGTGTACTACATGTTCGGTTCGGACGCGCGCCTCCAAGGAGGACATATAGTACTAGTATGTCCGCCACCGTGCCTCCTGGATCGTTGAGGCGCGGAAGAATGCCAAGTGGTGTCTGCCAGGGTTTCTGTAGTCTTCTAAGGGACCCCCCTCCCGAAGGATCCCCGGCGGCCATGGCGCTTCCCTCGGCCGGCCAGATGGCCCAAGATGTCTCCAAGAGGCCTCAAAGGGCCCCTCTGCGGAGAGGCCCCTGCCTTCTCGGCAGCCCTCCGCCTCCTCTCGTCACGAGCCCGGGGCCCCCCTCGCGCCATGCATTCCCCCTCCCACGCGCGCGGGCAGCCGCGCGGAGAAACCTCACGGCGGGCATGCCCCCTCCCCCACCCACCCACACCACCACCACCACCCGACCCCACCCCGGAGGAGGCCAGTGGGCAACGTTAGGAGATCTGAGGGGTGGGGGAGGGGGAGGAGGAGGAGGAGGAGGAGGAGGAGGAGGAGGCTCGACTCCGGGGGTGCACGGAGTCGGGAGATGAGCAAGGGGCGTGCGTCTGCAAATCGAAGCCGCGCGTGGTTTCTGCAAGGTCGCGCGGCGCGGGCGTTCGTCGTCCGCAGGGCGCGAGGGGCCGCCTCGCGAGCCGGGGGAGCGTGTTCCTGCTCGTCGCCTGGGGTGCAGGTCTTCTGGGGGCTTCCCAGAGAGGGCCTCTGCTGGGCTTGCTGCTTGCGGCTGCGTTCGGCTCTGCCGCTGGGCACTTTCCTCGGAGCGATCTGGCGCCAAACAAGCCGCGGGAGCTGGAGGTCCAGAGTGGAGATTCTCGATGTGATCGTGCTTTTTGTTCGGCACCTTGCTTCTCCACCGCCAGCTGAAGATCGCGGATGCTGATGAGACCGCGGGGGGATTTGTCGCAGCGGCTCCGCGCGCTTGCTCGTGTCCTCGCTTGGTTTGAAGGTCAGAGCTCTGTCTTCCTCACGAGAGCATCGTCTGTTCTGTATCTGTCCTCGAAGGGTGGTTGCCGTTGCATCGTCCCAGCGGCTGCGTGATTGTCCCAGGGCGCCTCGCGGGGTGACTCCGCCCGCCCGCGCAGCTGAACGGCGGAAAGGGTCTCTGGGCACCCTCCTCGAGGGGTGTCTCCAGGGCCTTCAGGGTGTCCCGCCAGTTACGGGTGCCGGGGAGGTGGGTCGCAGGCGATTTCCCCTCCCCCCCCCCTGTGAAAGCGAGAGTGCTGGATAGCCCAGCGTTTGCCCCTCGTCTCACTTGTTTCTTATCCGTAAACATTGCGGCTCCCAGGGCCCTTGAGTCTCAGGCGACACACGGAAAACATCAGCACCTATCTCAGAAGTAGCACCTTCACATTGGTAGCAGAAGCTGTTCGACCCACGGACACGCCTTCGCAGCATCGAAGAGAAGCTGCTCGCAGCATCGAGAGAAGCAGATCGCGGCATCGAGTTCGGCGGATAGACCGCCACACATTAATCACTACAAGGCCGGAGATCTACAAAGAGATCTACAGCAGAACCGGCAAGGATGGCGCCCAAGGTGGACCCGTCCGAGGAAATGGCAGAGGGTGAGGAAGGACGTGCCCAGCCGCAGCGAGGACCCCACGTTCCAGCTCCCGCCTTCGACCCGCAGACGATGACAATGAAGGATTACAGGAGGCGAGTGGCGATATTCAAGATAAGGACCAGACTGCCCCTTGAGAGGCAGGCCGCGGAGCTCTACGCAGAACTGAAGGGCGACGCCTGGATTCATGCGGAGGACCTCGACCCGACGGAGCTTCAGAATGACGAAGGGGTCCAAGTGCTGCTCGACTTCCTAGTAGATAAGTTCGACGACGAAAAGGTGATGGAGCTTGGGTCCGAGCTCAAGACTTTCTTCACACGCATGCGCCGCGGCAGCGGCGAAGAGATCAGGGCTTATATCAACCGCTTCGACACGCAGGTCTCGAGACTTAAGACAATGCAGATCGAGTTCCCAGGTCAAGCGCTGGCGTGGTTGTTCATGTGGTGGCTTGGCCTGCCGCCAGATCGAGGAGTGCTGAATGCTAATCAGAATAAATACGAGCTCAAGCCTTTGCAGGAGCAGACGTTGCTTAACGTGAAGGACGCCGAAGCACTGGACAAACACAACCCCCGGAGGCCAGCCCCCAGGACACCACTTGCGCCCAGAGGTCCGCCAGCGCGACCTCGACGATGGGGAGCTCACATCACCGAGAACGACGAGGAGGAGGATCTCGAGGTGCACGAGACCCAGGTGGACGACCATGACCTGCCGGAGGAATTGCTCGAGGAGCACGAGGAAGCGGAGGCCGAAGTGTACATGTTAGAGAAGATGCTCGCCCGAGCAAAGGACAGGCAAAAATACGCCAAGCAAGCTAGAGGATTTTATCATAGAGATCGGCTACCTGGGCGCGGACCTGGTAAAGGACCAGGCGGAAAAGGCAGTCCTGGAGGCGGCAAGGGGCCCGGCGGTAAGGGCTCGGACCGCATCAAGAAGTTGAAGGCGAGGACTCACTGCGCAGTGTGCCAGAAGCTGGGGCACTGGAAGGGTGACCCCGAGTGTGCAGGAGCGCCAAGTAAGGCGCACATGACGACTGCCGACGACCATGACGAAGACGACCAGGGATCAGAGCAGTACCTCACGAGCTGGAACAGCAAGGAGAAGCAGATCGAGAAGCAGACGTTCTTCATCAACAATCACGTGCTGATGACCGGCGCGGGCAGCGTGAACGTTATCATGGCAACGAAAGAGGAGCTGCTGCAGCAGTGCGGCGGCAAGCTGTTACCAGACTCGGGCCAAATCCGTTGGAGGACAGGTTTGGCATGGCGACATGAAGAAGAGGCTCGCGAATATGGGTCTCGAGCCGATCGAGTTTGATGAGCATGAAGTTTTCAGGTTCGGCGCCGGGAAGCCAGTCATGAGCGCGATCGGAGCGCTGGTGCCGCTCGCAGTTCGCGGACGTCCCTGTGCGCTGAGGATATCCATCGCGCCGTGCCTGGCCCCCGCGCTGCTATCGCAGAAAGCTCTTGGTCAGTTGGGAGCAGTGCGCGACCACGAGGTGGAGGCTGGCGAGAGCACCATGACTTTCAGGAAGCTCGGAGTCTCCAGCCTCGAGCTCGGGCAGACCAAGAGCGGACATCCGAGTTTTGATGTGTTGGAGTTCGACAGGGCTCACATTTCTACCATGGCTCCAGACGTGAGCCCCAGCCAGACAGAGATCAGGCTGCTTCCGCCATCACAGCGCTGGTGGAAAGAACTCGAGAGGAGCCCTCATCATCATCGATCGCAGGATCATCATGCTATGGAGGCCTCCCAAGCACAGGTACGAGATATTCCTAGTGGGCCTCCAACGGGATCCCAAGGGGCCCCGCGACAACCACATCAAGAGCGACCCGTATCACGAGGAGCCCAGCTTCAACATCATGAGGGATCCGAATCAGTACGAGCTAAACTTCAACGACTGCGAGAGCGATCCGAATCATTGCGAACTAAACTTCAGAAAGCCTCTGGAGCACCCCAACGAGAACCCTCTACGGACCAGTTTCGGGCAACGGACAAGTATGCCGAAGTGCAGAAACCTATGCGAAAGCAGCAAGCACTAGCACCAGCAAAATGTGTTCGATTTCACATAGCGGGCAATGATGAAACCGTTCGGCCTCAGCCAAATATGGTTCAAACCGTTTCAGGTGGTTCTCAAGATCAGCATTCCCGTTCAGGTGCGGATGGGATGGATCCAGCGCTGGGACATCCTCGATGTCAACACCAACAAGAAGTACAATACCGTAGCGCTGATGCGCTGGAAGCAGATTTTCAAGCTGGTGTTCTTAGCCATTTCGATGACCAGGCTTCCGGCGGTTGCCATCATCTTCCACAACGGGCGCCGCTACGGCCAGGAGGAGATCCTCGAGAAGCAGGCCGAGGCACCAGCACCCAGACGACTATTACCACTGGGGACTATGGTCAAGGTGGAGTTGCAGGAGGAGATGGAGAGCAACGGGCTGGAGTTCCAAGGCCTGGGCTGCAGAGAGATGCGCGCGATCCTCAGCGAGCAGCGGATCGAGAACGGCCAGAGCCGCAGAGGAGCTCGAGCTGCAGATCCAGAACTCCGGGGACTCGCCAAGAAGTCACGAGCAGAGTTGGTCCAGCTGGTTAGGTGAAA